AAGGCCCAGCAACTGGCTGAGGTGGAGGCAAAGAAGTTCAAGCAGATGACAGAGGCCCTGGGCCCCAGCACCATCAGGGACCTGGCTGTGGCCGGGCCAGAGATGCAGGTGAGGGTTAGGGGAGGTTGGAGGGGAGTGTTTGACTTGGTACCAGCCTTGGAACTAAGAAGGCAGAAAGGAAATAACATCCAGAGTGTCATGGAGAGGGAGTGAGCAGACGTCCCTTTATCACTTGAGCACAGTGTCATGTGTGTCAACATCAGGCACTGTATTAGACTCAGCAGAGAGCTGGAACTCTTTGGGGAGACGGTGAATACCAGGGTGTTGGTCTGTGACCGATGCTTCCAAGGAAGGCAGGCTGGGTGATGGGATGAACGGGAGCTGACACTTCAAATCCGTTGGTTTCAGGAGGGTCACTTGGAAGTGCAAGAAGTGACCAACATCTGACCCTGTCTTCTTTCCTTCCTCCTCCTCCTCCTCTTCACCTCCAGGTCAAACTGCTCCAGTCCCTTGGTCTGAAATCCACCTTGATCACTGATGGCTCCTCTCCCATCAACCTCTTCAACACAGCCTTTGGGCTGCTGGGGCTAGGGTCTGATGGTCAGCCCCAGGCCCGAAAGGCGGCTAGTGGGCTCAGCCCCCAGGAGGGTTTACATATTCAGGGACCTCCCGCCCCTCAGACTGCTGGAGGCAACCAAATTGTGCCTTAGCTCTTACAACTGACCAATAAAGTGGACATTTCTGGGCATTTAAATTCTTTTTCTCAAGCCTGGGCTAGGAGGAGCTCACTGGTGGAGGGAAGTGTACCCCTGACATCTGGAAGGTAATTACTAGAGACTATGCACATATGGAAAGTGGAGAGGAAACAGTCAGAGATGAGCCCAAAGTTGCCCTGATCACAATGGGATCCGCAAAGCCTTAGCAAGCTGTCCTCTAGGGAGTCAACTTTCCTAGATCCCAGGTCAGGAAGATGATGTCACCCATGGAAGAATGCAGTCTGCCTGCCAAGCTCTCTGGGATGGCTGGGACTGGCAACCTCTCCATTCATGCCTCTAAGAACCCAGGGTGGCCTGGCAGTTCTGGAATCTACCCCCAGCCACCATGGAGGCCCCTCACCCCCAGCCTATTTAGGCAACTCCCCTTTGGCACCACCTGCTGGTCATACCAGCAGCCTACAGCACCCATAGGTGTGCCAGGCCAGTACCAGCACCTGTATACTTTTCCCTTCTCAGATGGGGATRTTRCACTGWGGARGAGGACYMTGCCCARSSGTTSTARGAACTAGTTTCTGGTCTGGGATAATCAGGAGCACCAAGGGTACTCTTTTTCCAACCTCCCCCACAACCAGTAAGGGCCCATTATTTGGGAGGACCCAGGCCCAATCAGTCTAAGCACACCAGCTCCTTGTGGCAGGTAGAGCTGTAGGTGCCAAGCCYGCCCCATCTCCACTGAGGAAGCTAAAAGATCCTAGGGATGGAGAGGAAAGCTTGGGCTGGGCTGTGTGGSTAGAGTAGGCTGCACAACCTCTCTAATCTCTTCCCCATCTGTGCAGTGGGCCAGCAAATCCCCCACTGGAAAGGGTTGATGCAAATATAATAATGATTCCTTTTTAAGGTCTTATTCTTATTTCCCCTCTGTTGCCTGACCTCCTGAGCCTGGTTTCTTTCCAAGTTGAATTGCGTTTGTATGATCAGTGGCTCCACTCAAGTCTGAGCGTGCCGAGTCCAAGGGAGTACATCCTCGGCTCACAGCAAGGTGAAGCTGGCTGTGTCTGTGGAATAGGCAAGTGACAGCCCCTCCCCCCCCCCAGTCTCCCACTTCTTCCCTCTAGGGATAATTAATTTAAGGTTCTTCATCTGGTACCTGGCATGTATTAAGTGCTGCTGTATTAGGGCTGTACATTACCAAGGGCCTCTGGGGACAAGTGACAGAAACAAGTAAGATTATGCATGGTGGGTATGTTCCTTTCTGCATGGCCACCTTGACCATGGCCATCCCTCCACCTTGCTTAACATTGCTAGCAACCACACCACCTCTGGAACTTCCACTTAAAGCTTCAGTGACCTTGACTCCAACCACTTTTTGAGCCCCCATCCCTTGTCATTTCAGTTGTACCCAGCTTAGCATCTGTGATCTATCCAAGTAATTCACTCATATGAATTAACTCCCTTATCTCCTTGTCTCTGAGTATTTAAGAATGTTTCCAGGGTTAAATCCACTTAATTCCTTTAATATTTGATTAGCTAAAGAAGAAGGATCTGAAAAATCAGCTCTATTATTTCGAATATCTTAGATATAATGATGGAGTTCCAAAAGATTCAAGCTATTATTGTTGTTTTKCCAAATACCCAACAAATGGTTTTTAACCTTCTTCCAATCCCAGAGAGAAGCATTGTACTTGGCAGCTGTAACACACATATATTTATAACTTGCGTGGCATATAAGCCTTTCTTTAAAGCTGAAAGTTCATTACCTATATTTATAACAGTCGCCTCTAAGGCATTTAACTTAGTCTCAATCCTTTCATCAATATTTACTTGATTGTGCAGAGCCTTGGAAGTATTTTGAGCTAAATTATTAAGAAATTTTGCATGTTGAATATTTTGAGATAAAGTCACCAAAGTTGTGACTGTGGATGCAGTGAAAGAAACCAAGGCTATAACTCCCACAATTATAATTCCAATGGCACGTCTAGGTCTCGCTAGCTGGGTATGAATTTGTTATAAGACTTGAAAACCAGCATCAGCATACCATGACTCTGAAATATTAGCTGGCAATAAAACAAAAGAGGGCTGGTGAAGTACCAGCACTCCTTTTCCTCTATTATAATCTAGTAATATAATTGGTTAGGTTACATTTGTTACATGTTACAATATATCTGTCATCTATCCATTTAACTTTTACATTTCCAATGATTAAAATGTAAGGAGATTGGACACAGCTTGTAAGCCATAGCAAGACCCTTCCTTACAGCTCTTGCCAATATATTTCCGTAAAGGCTTGTCTGTAAAATGTAAGAATTCTGAGGCAGCAATAAAGCACCAAACATCCTTTTGAATACCACTCTCACTGTAGGTCAAAATATTGCTAACAAATCCTGTAGGTGTCATAGCAGAACTTTTTCACAATTGTCTTATCAATTTTTGGAGACCAGTCTAAAATATACCCACTATCTTTAGACACTGTATGTTGCACTGGAAAGGTATTTACACAATCTATCCATCTAGGAAGGGTGCCAATTTCTATTGTAGAACTATTAGGACAATAAGGAATTTGTGAAGGTTTTGCAGAAATGACTGGTTTATTATGGGAAACTCCCATTTTGATCACTGATCTAGTATAAGGTTTTAAGTCTCCATCAGTAGTACGATTAATCAGTCTAGGTCTCCCAATCGCTATCTTTTCCTCAAATGATATTCTGAGACAGCATGTTTATCGTGGGACCAACACAAAGCTAATTGGGCACTGTAGCCAGAATAATTAAATCTAGTCACATGATTAGGAGTAATGTGTGTGTCATTAGTAAACACTGGAGTAAATTCTCTAGTCCACACAGCTGGGTATACTAAGGGTGGACCTGGGAAATATGTCCAGTAAGTGTCTGCTCGACTCCCTTTTACCTGTCAGTCCAGCAGGGCTACCATCATCAATGGGGTCTTATTTCTCCCTAGGAGTCGAATCATTCATGAAGCATGTGTTGTCAGCTTTTTCACATCTTCCCATGAGATCACCTTTTCAGCTGGGTCTTGCTGGGTCATCTTCATTCTTCTTCGATATCTCCTCCTTTTGAGGGAAGGCTTCTTCAGGTCGATTTTCAGTCTCTTGAATCGCATTACCTGAAGTTAAAGGTCCTGGAAGATTAGTATGAGCTCGTATGTGTCCTATGAAACTTGGGTATTTTTGCATTTGCATCACCTTTTGTAGATTATGAAATAATTTAAATAGCTCTTGTGATGATGCATATCCAATGAGTGAAGTTTCAATATTTTTAGTAACTCCAACTGCATATAAGCTGTCAGAATAAATATTAATAGGCTCATTTGTAAAGTAATTTTAAGGCACAAATGAGAGCTTGTAGCTCTGCTCTTTGGGCAGAAGTATATGAGGTTTGTATTACCTCTGTGTGGACATGGCTATAAAAACCTGCTTTACCTGAGCTTGAACCATCAGTGAACACCATTAGGGCTCCACCTATGGGCTGGGCACACACAATCTTTGGAAAAATAAGTGGTCTTATTGATGCAAATTGAATAACTTTATCACAAGGGTAATGACTTTCTATCTGACCAGGAAAATCAGCAAAAGCTACTTGCCATAAACTAGAAGCTTAAAAAGCCAATTATTCTGTTGAAGAGAAAATGGAATGATTATATCAGATTCAGATCCAACTAGTTGTAAAACTCTCATTCTAGTTTTAATTACTAATTGAGTAATAGAGTCATGAAAAGGAGTTAATGTCTTTTGGGGAGAGTGGGCTAAATGAATCCACTCAATAACTCCCAATCTTTGCCATATAGCTCCTGTGGGGGCATGAGCAGTTGGAAATATTAATAAATATACCAGTTCTTGAGAATTAATTCTAGTAGGTTGTGTATTTTTAATTGCAATTTCAACCTTTTTTAAAGCTTCTCTAGCCTCTTGTCAGTTGACAAGAAGTTGGAGAAGTATCTCCTTGTAATATCTTAGTTTTAAGGATGGCCTCAGCCAATTGATATCTCCTAATAGTTTTTGAAAATCATTAAGGGTACGTAACTCCTTAACTTTTATCTGTAGATTTTGAGGAAGGATTGTACATCCTTGAATTATCTGACCCAAATATTGAAAGGGAGGCATCTTTATATCTTTTGAGGAGCAATGCACAAACCCATTGCTATAAGTGAAGCCTCTGAGTAAAAATTTCTGAAAGTAGTTCTGGATTAGATGAGCCAATAATATATCATCCATGAAATGAATAATATATGCATCAGGAAGTTATTTCTTACAGGAATTATCGCTTGACCCACAAATTTTTGACAAAATTGGGCTATTACGAATTCCTTGAGGCAAAACTTTCCAGCAATATCTTTTAACTGGTTCTTTAAAATTAATTGCTGGGACACTGAAAGCAAATTTTTCACAATCCTCAGGATGCAATTTTATTGAGGGAAAAAAAAACAATCTTTTAGATCTATCACCATTAAGCTATAATTTAAAGGAATTGCCATAGGAGAAGAAAGTCCAGGCTGCAATGGTCCCATAGGCTGAATTGCATGATTTATTGCCCTTAAATCTTGTAGTAACTTCCAATTACCTGACTTTTTCTTAATAACAAAAATAGTGGTGTTCCAAGGACTAAGCGTTGATTCTATATGACCAGCCTGAGGTTGTTCCTCAACCAACATATTAATTATCTTAATTTTCTCCACTGATGTGGGCCACTGAGAAATCCATATAGGCTCGTCTGTGAGCCAGGTGATTTTTTTCTGCTGAGTTTTGGATCTGGGAGACACTCAGGGCCCCTAGTAAAAATTTTGGTCTGGAGCATTTATTAATCTTTGTTGAGGAGACTGGTTTGTAAGCAGATACTCGTCCTGATAATCTTTCATTACCTCCAGGAAGAAACCCTTGATTAAATTCTTCAAATGATCTCAAAGAATTTGGAGTTATTAATAATAATCCTATTTTGCTTAATACATCTCTTCCCCATAGATTTACTGGTAAAGATTCTAACACATAGGGTTTAAAACTCCACTATTTCCATCT